TGAAAATCACTTTGCACGAGGACTAGTAAAAAAATAATTGATATATATATATATATCAGTTTATTAAGAATACTTCACTAAAAAATAGGATTTTTTCTATGTGAAAGACTTGTAATGTTTACTGAAACTCTGCCAAATTTTGTGATGATATACATACTATATTAAAAGTTAGTAGTATCAAAACTATAAAGACTTTAAATAAGTACAAAGCGGTCACGTGGTCGGTGAAATCGACAGAGCCAATGCTGAGAGAGTTAAACAACTTTTTCTGTGCTTCAGGTTTCTCAGTTGGAAGAAGAGATACAACAAAGACAGCAGGAAACCCAATTACTGGCCAGAAAATTGGCAGAAAAAACAAAATCGGGTATGTATGCGATGAAATAATATTAATGTTTTATACAGATAATTAGTTTTGCTCACTTACATTTTTGTTTAATTTAATAAACACGTAGAAAGAGTGATTTTGAATGTTAATTATTTTGGTTTCCTTAACCCTAAGTAAACCACCTAGGGTGCATTTACACATACCCCACTATTCTTCCAATCTATATTACTTGGCTCGGGTTGAGGTGGAGTAGCTGTAACTGATAGTACCTTCCTTGTTGTTATAACACTTTTGAACAACAAATCTATATTGTTTAAACATCATGTGTTTTGTGTTAAGAATATTTTGATTTCTGTTTTTACTTATACAATCTTGGCTGCCATTACATCCCATCTTCCTCTAGATTTATGATTTAACCATTTCCAAAAAAATTTCGGGGAATTACAAAGCTCCATTTCCAGAATAGTCTGGAGTTTCATCCCAAGAACGTTATGAACATTCTGGGAGCAGTTTGAAAGACAATGTAAGCCAATGAGCAACCTCAGTTGTCATCATTTACAGTGTGGTTAAGTGGAGCTTCTATTAATGCTGATTCTGTTACACGTATTGCTTTAACTGTGGGGAGAAAAAATATAGTGTAAGAAAACAGAAAGTAAAATAATGTTTATGAGGTTGAGAACAGTCAGGGGAGGAAAGGATCTCTTCATTTGAGCCAGAATCTGAAAATGAAATACTAATGCAGAGGCGACAGTAAAGAGATGGGCAAGCTGCTGGTTATATGGCTTCAATTGTGCAACTTATGTAATAAGGTGTTAGAAAAAATATTGATACCCAAATATATAGAAGTTCAATACAATACTGTTGCTTTTAGACTGGGGTGCAAATTAATTATCAGAAGGTTTTTATGGATTATTTGAGCCATGTTTTTGCTTAAATTTCTTCTACACATTTAACTTTGTCAAGATTTTTTGATGCTTTGTAAACACTGCCCTGGATGTAACTACTAGAGAACAAAAAAATTCTACAATCTCTGGCTTTCTTTGAGATATGATCAAGGAAGTCACACTTCTCTTGAGTATTTTTTTCTTATTCTATCATTTGCAAAGAGACTTTTGTACTAATCTGGATCTTGTAGTAGTTGCTTTGCGTGTCTGGATGTGTTTTTTTAATATAATTTAGTAACTTTTGTATCAGCTATCGTAATTTCCATAATATCTGAGATTGTTGTTAAAATGTATTTTCAATGACACCTAACTCCTTGTTTTTTTAGTGGAACAGCTAACAGTTAAACTCGAAGAAGCTGAAAATGAAAATAAAGTGATGAAGAGAAGACACATTACTAGCATCAAGGTACTAAACGTATTTCAAAACTGGTGTCACTAAGTATGGAAATATATTTATTTTGAAAGTTTAGTTAAATACTGAATACATCTCAGGAGAGAACATCTAAAAGACTGAAATCACACAGAAATATTTAAAATCAAGTATGGTATGTATAACTACTCAACATTTCATTCGTCTCAGTTCAGTTTCATGTGGCAAGTTAAGTTGGAGTTTTGCTTCTTTTTTTTTTAATTAATAAAAAAAATCTTGGAATATCTTTATCATTAATAGTTTATTTACTGTTGTATAGGATTTTTTTACTTGATTCTCAAATGTGCATTAATAAAATATTGTTTACACAGCAAATTATTGATCCTAATTCAGTCTGTAAAAGTTCTGTGTTAATTATTGATCCAAATGGCAACTTACTGTCACTTATGGCGAGAATATTTAATAAATTTATTCTCTACATATGTAAAATAAAATCTGAAACAACTTTAATTTTTGTAGATAATATAGAAGTGTGAATGTTAATTGGAATCCATTTCCATCTATCAACATTTGTAATTATGTTTAATATTTTAAAGTTTATATTGTACATTCTGATTATAAGCTGTTGTCGTCTGTGAAGAAGTTTTTTTTGAAGTACTTTGAACTGTTTTAAATGTTTTTGGGGCTAGTTTTGATTGAATATATTCACAACTAAAACTTTTGTAAAGCTTTGCAATTTGAAAAATATGTACAACATTATTATAAAGCTTCTGAACAGTATTTTGAATCTGTTCTTCTGTATTTTTAATACAAAGAACACTTGACAAAAGTTTGTCTGATAGCTAGTACTGATTTTGGGCAACTTTGGGAACAGTTTGCATTGAAGAAGGTACTTAGATGTGACTTTTGTCATTTCAACATGGGCTTTTAGGTAGCAGTGTTCATTAGAAAGACATTCAAATATATTTACTACTAGCTGGAGTACCCGATCCCCTGGATGGAAGTTATGTAAAATGATGATTAATGAAAGGTTATCTTAGGACGTGAAAAGTTGCTTCCCTTATAGGTAATTGTAAAAAACACCCATAAAAACTGCAAAACACAAAATATGAAACTGC